CACACCTTCACCTTCACCGCTTCCCCAGATCTTGTCACCCTCCTCCTCCAGATCATCATCGTTTTTATTGCCGAATTTTTTGAGAACTTTTCTGTAGATAAACACACTCTTAGGAATTTGGGTATTTCCATAGTTCCACCTGGTTCACCTTGCAGAGCATGGACGCCCTGAAGAGCTTCACCTACTCGAGCGGCGGCTCCTCCTCCTCGGCCGCCTACCAGGCGAACTGGGTCGACATCACCGAGGAGTTCAGAGACGCTTCCAAAGGTGAGCAAACTGAAAACATTGAACTCAAACATCCTGATGGTAATAACATCATTCGTTTTCCCTCTCCCAAACAGAACTGAAACTGGGCGAGCTGGTGCACGACGAGCTCTTCGGCCTCTACGACGCCATGGCCGCCATCGAGCTGATGGACCCGAAGATGGACGCCGGCATGCTGTGCAATAAGAGCAAGAAGGTGCTGCCCTTCGAGGAGCTGGTCGCCCGGGGCCGCCTGAAGGTGGACGGCTTCACGCCGGCGGAGCTGATCGGCATCCTCGACGAGACCTTCAGCTGCCTGGTGACCTGGCTGGACGGCCACTCGCTGGCGCAGACCGTCTTCACCAACCTCTACCTGCACAACCCGGCGCTGGTGGCCGACCGCTCGCTGCGGGCCTTCGCCCTGGTCACCCTGAAGCTGGTGGAGACGATCAAGGAGTTCGTCCACCAGGCGGCCGTCTACGAGGACGAGGACTTCCAGCCGAAGACGTACAACTTCAGCCTGGCGGGCGGCGTCACCGTCCCCAAGGTCCTGACGGCGATCAAGGCCGCCGAGGAGGAGCTGGCCAGGCGGCTGAAGAAGGAGGACGACGGCGAGGAGGACAACAAGGAGCAGCAGGCGCTGCTCGTTCGCCTCAGCTTTACGCGGCACTTCTTCCTCTTCATGAACTGCTTTCGAAAGCAGGTGGGCGGAGGCGGAGGAAGGGACCGAGAGTCGAATCAGCAGCACCCAAACCATCATAACCACCATCATCATCA